GCTATGAGTCAAATCTGACTCCACAGCACTTAACAATAACAACATAGCTTTGTATAGAAGTCCTGGTGTGGCATGGTAGGATAAGCACTGGACTGTGAAATTCAAGATTGGCAGTTTAAACCCACCAGCAGCTCATTGGGAAGCCTATACAGGGCCACTGTAATTAGGAACCAAAGGCAGTAAACAACAACAGGGTTGTTATGGGATTTTGCATTCATCCAGACCCTGAGGTCCTTCGGCGAAGAGTTCCAGCCCCAGCCCGTGGGTAAGGGAAGCTGGTAGGTGAGCAAGGCAGGTAGGTAGGGGCAGTACCAGCCTCCAGTGCTGGCGAGAGCTGCTCAAAGTTGGGCACGTCCTTGACCAACACATTTGGCACCGCCCAGTTGAGAGTCAGGCCCGCCTTCCCTTCCTGGTTGCAGCCAGAGTCCTGGGCTCCTTCAGCAGGGGATGGGGGTGCCTTAGATGTCAGACTACACAGTATCGGCTCCTTGGTGAGTCCTGGGTCAGGGAGAGGAGAGAAGGGAAGTGAGGGGACAGGTTCCACGCCAACCTCATGATCTGTGCCATCCACCCCCATGCTCTGGTGATCTCCCTGTCTCAGGATGGACTCATGGCTCATCTCAAACAAGCCCTACTCGGTTTCCCTCTGCCCTGCCAATTTCCTGGTTACTTGTACCTGGGTGATCAAAGCCAAGGCCCTAAGGATGCAAGCCAGGGTTCAAACCTTGACTCTATGCTCCTCAAGCCTCAGTTTCCCTCTCTATGAAGGGGGAAATGTGAGACCTGCTTTGTACAGTTGTTCTGGAGGTTACATGAGATCTCTGTGTAAAGCTCTAGCCAGGGCTGGGCACTGTGGCCACTGGGGGCTGTCACCTAGGGGTTGGGGATATGGGGACAGGTGCTGGGTTGAAATCACAGCTCTGCCACTCTGAAGAGCATTGTCCTGTGTGGTGACAGCCAAGTTTTCCTGCCAGGTCTCTCTGGTCCACCTGTCAGCCTGTGAACTCTCTCACACACATGCATACACACCACTTACATATATACCACATACATGTGCACCACAAACCACACACAAAATACATACACACACTAGGTACACATATCCCATGCACACTCCACCTACCACATACACACCACACACCGTATACACAAACACACCACCCACCATTTAAACACATATCACACATCTCATACACAACACACACAGCAAACACATACCATACATATACAGGACACACTGATGCCCACATATGCTCACACACTTACTCACACACATAAGTACACAAACATACAAATACACATGCTTACACATGCAAACACACTCACACAAAGGAACCCTGGTAGCGCAATGATCATGAGCCAGGCTGCTAAAGAAAAGGTCCATAGTTTGCATCTACCAGCAATTCCACGAGAGAAAGATGAGGCTTTTGGCTCCCATAAAGACTTACAGGGTCGCTATGAGACTCCACAGCACACAACCACACACAAGTGCATCTGTATACATAACATACATGTAAACACACTTACAAATACAGATGTGCACACAGATAGAAATACAACCACTTAATGTAACACATGCGCACACACGTGCACACACAGGTTCTCACACACACATGTGCACACACATCCTGCCACACTGAATTGCTGCCCTTCAGGCACCGATCTCAGAACCTTGTGCTTCCTCTCATCCCTCCGCCAGGGTTGTCCTTTCACTGCCCCTTCTCCTAGATGTACCCTCCACACCTGACCAGGCAGTGCATCTATCACCACCTCCAGGAAGCCCACCTTGTCTCCCAGGCTGGTCAGATGCTTCTTAGGGCCCCCACATCACTGGACATCCCTCCTTGACTGCACCCTCTTGCTAGGTGATCTCTCTGGGTCTGTCCCCTGGGTGTGGAACTTCTCTGGGTCCCAGCATCCAGCTAAGACAGACACAGAACATCCCACAGACAGCATCTCCTGGTACTCACAGCATGTGATCCCCATGAGGGCTCCCTCAGCTACCTACCATGGGACATACCACCTACCCCGTCTCTCCAGGAATCTCAGTGCGTCCAGGTAGCCTTGTCTGCAGGTGTCGGCCACTATCTGAAAACACACAGGTGGGGGGAGAGATGTCTGTCTTCAACTGGAGACACTTCCCAAGTGATCCCTCAGCAGGCCTCAGAGGCCCAGGGACCCCCGGCACTTTCCAGAAAGCACAAGCAGGACAGATCCACCCATAATGATTCCCTCAGTACCCCCACTTCACTCCTCCTGGGACCCCTGACCAGGTGTCCCAGCTCCAGCCCCCACCTCTCCTGCCTGGGTTCCTCCCTCTGGAAAATAAGACAATGAGGCCCGATCCAGGACAGCTGGGACACCAGCACAGGTCATTGGCCCCTTGACCCCTTGGTGCTTATTTCCAGGACCGGCCTGAGAGGGGCAGAGCTTCCAGGAGCCCAGCCCCATCTGTCTCCATGGGAGACCTGAGGGGAGAAGGCCCAGGTCCAGGAAATAGATCTGCACCCCCTTGCTGTGGGACCTCCAGTCACTGACCAGCTCCCCTAGAGCCTGTTTTCTG